GGCTAATTTTCGTATTTTTACTAGAGATGGGCTTTTGCCACGTTGGCCAGTCTGGTCTCAAGCTCTCGACCTCAAGTGATCCACCTGCCTCAGCTGCCCAAATTTCTGGGATTACAGGCACGGGCCAACATGACCAGCCCAACATCTTCTTTGTAAATGTCAAAAGCACGTGTAGTGATTATTTCTTATTTTTTCCCCCTTGATCCATCTCACCAGATGTTTGTTGATTTTATAAGAATTTTCAAAGTACCAGCTTCTGGTTTTGTTGATCTTTGCTTTCTGTTTCACTAATTTTTGCACTAATTTTCTTCTAATTACAGTGTTAGCTGCATCCCACAAGTTTTGATAGTCACAGAACTGTATCAAGTCAAAAATATTTTTATTTTTATTTTTATTTTTATTTTTTATTTTTTATTTTTTTTGAGACGGAGTCTCGCTCTGTCGCCCAGGCTGGAGTGCAGTGGCCGGGTCTCAGCTCACTGCAAGCTCCGCCTCCCGGGTTCACACCATTCTCCTGCCTCAGCCTCCCAAGTAGCTGGGACTACAGGCGCCCGCCACATCGCCCGGCTAGTTTTTTGTATCTTTTTTTTAGTAGAGACAGGGTTTCACCTTGTTAGCCAGGATGGTCTCGATCTCCTGACCTCGTGATCCGCCCGTCTCGGCCTCCCAAAGTGCTGAGATTACAGGCTTGAGCCACCGCGCCCGGCCAAAAAAAAAATTTTTAAATTTCAGTAAGTTCTTCACTGATCCCTGTGTAATTTAGAAATGTTTCTTAATTTTCCTACATTGGAGGGGAAGAGATTTTAGTTTTGTTTTTATTATTAATTTCTAGCTGTATTGAGCTCTTGTCAGAGAATATGGTTTATATTATTTTAGTTGTTTGAAATTTAAGATTTGCTTAATGGCAAAATATATGGTCAGTTTTTGTAAATGTTGCAAGTAAGCTTGCGAATCACATATATTCTCTAGTTTTGAGATCCATTGCTCAGTGGATGTTCATTAGGCCAAATTTCTATAATCATGTTGTACAAATCTATTCTGTTCTTACTGTTGTTTTAAAGGTGTGGTGTCTTACTATGTTGCCCAGGCTGGACTCAAACTCCTCAGCCTCCCAAGTATCACAGGCATGTGCAGCTTGATTTAAATTAAAAAAAAAAAAATAAATGAGAAGAGGATTTGTTGATCTCCCCATTATGATTATGGATTTTTCTATTTTTCCTTCTCAGCTTATGCTGTATATATCTTGGGGCTGTGTTACTAGGTGCATCCAAGTTTATAGTTGTTATAGTTACCATGTGAACTCAACCTTGGATCTTTACATAGAGATCTGTGTATTTAGTAATGTTTTGTTCTTAAAATCTGCTTCTATCTAATATTAATGTAAGTATACCAGCTTTATTTTATATGTATTTTTCTTGGACTTTGTCCTTATGTATTTCAAGAAATTGTGATAAAGACTTCATTTAACTAGACTGTGAAAGGACTAGGCCATTCTGGGTAATTCACTTCTCTGAAAAATATTTTTATTTTCTTGGTATTTAAAAAAAGGTTTATAAGACATTCTAATTTATCTATCTTAGTTTTCTTTTTTCATTTATTTAGGGGTCTGGTACCTTAGGGATATCATTCTGAAAATTAAACTTTTCTACATAGGCCCATAGATACAGGGTGACTAGAATAGATGACTGGGCTGGATGTGTTCCACAGTGTATCGGGCAGGATTCTCCAGAGAAACAGAACCAGGAGGGTGTACAGACACACACATGCACACGCACCAGGAGAGCCACTGATGTAAGCCCTTAGACTCGAGACCCAGGAAGAGCTGATGCTCCAGCCTGAGTCTGAAGGCTGAAGAAGACCAATCTTCCATCTCAGACGGGCAGGAGTTCCCCTTCCTCGGCATTTTTGTTCTGCTTTGGTTTCCAGTTGATTGGATGAGACCCACTCAACAGGAGGGAGGGCCCTCTGCCTCAGTACAATTCAGATGTTAGTCTCATGTAGAAACATCCTCACAGATACATCTAGAATCACGAGGGACTAACTGTCCAGGTACCCCATGGCCCAGTCAAGTTGACACATAAGGTTAACCTTATACATGGCATCTGCTACAACTTGCGTTTCTGAATGAAATTCTGCAACCAGTTCACCGGTTTTGTAATGTGTTTTTTTTTTTTTTTTAGACAGAGTCTTACTCTGTCACCCAGGCTGGAGTGCATTGGCGCCATCTTGGCTCACCACAATCTCCACCTCCCAGGTTCAAGCGATTCTCCTGCCTCACCCTCCCCAGTAGCTGGGATTCCAGGAGTGCACCACCATGCCTGGCTAATTTTTGTATTTTCAGTAGAGACAGGGTTTCGCCATGTTGGACAGGCTGATCTTGAACTCCTGGCCTCAAGTGATCTACCCACCTCAGCCTCCCAGAGTGCTGGGATTACAGGCATGAGCCCCTGTGCCCAGCCAATTTTTAATTTTTTTAAGAAATGAAAATCTTGCTCTGTCGCTCAGGCTGGAGTGGAGTAGTGCCATCTTTGTTCACTGCAGCCTCGAACCTCTGGGCTCAAATGATCCTCCTACCTCAGCCTCCCGAGTAGCTGGAAGCACAGGTGTGAGCCACTATACCCGACCCTGTTCCTCTTAAAAGCTTAGTAAATAGCAGTCCTTTATATCAGGGACGAGGAAGAGAGATTTTAATGATGTGATAGTTTATTCAGTAAAGGGTACAGAAGTGAGTTAGGGCCCCTGCTCTCTAAGAATTACAGACCTCACAACATAGGCCCGGGCTGGGCATGGTGGTGGCGCCTGGATTCCCAGCACCGTGGGAAAACGAGGCAGGAGAATCTCTGGGACTGGGGAGGCGGAGGTTGCAGTGAGCTGAGATCCTGTCATTGCACTCCAGCCTGAGTGACAACAGCGAGACTCTGTCTCAAAAAAAAAAAAAAAAGGCCCCAGGAGCTTGTTCCCCCTTCCACCAGCAAAAGGCACCTTCCATGAAGCCGGAAGGGGCCCCCACCAGGCAGGGAATCTGCCAGCGCCTTGACTGATCTTGGACTCTCCACCTCCAGAACCATGAGAAGTAAATTTCTGTTGTGTGTAAGCCAAGCATTATCTTTTTTTTTTTCTCTTTTTTCTTTTTTTTTTTCTTTTTTGAGATGGAGTTTCGCTCTTGTTGCCCAGGCTGGAGTGCAATGGCATGGTCTTGGCTCACCACAACCTCTGCCTCCTGGGTTCAAGCGATTCCCCTGCGTCAGCCTCCTGAGTAGTTGGGATTACGGGAATGCACCACCACGCCTGGCTAATTTTGTATTTTTAGTAGAGACAGGGTTTCACCATGTTGGGTGGTCTGGTCTCCAACTCCTGACCTCGTGATCCGTTCATCTCTGCCTCCCAAAGTGCGGGGATTACAGGCGTGAGCCACCGCACCCGGGAAAGCCGAGCATTTTCTAACAGATGTCCAAGTAGAGTAAGACAGTCTTCAGCATACGCATTTTGGAGAGAGAAAACATTTACTCCATAACAGTGGTCCTTTTTGTTTTAAATTAACATCCCCGACTTTTTTTTATCTTTACCGCCCACTTGCCTCTTGGCAGGCATAGGGTTTCCCTGGGGCTGCTGTGAGGAGGCAGCACTGGCTGGGAACAGTGGGGCTGTGCGGCTGCCAGAGTCACTGTGTGCGCAGCGCCTCCTGCAGCCACGTGGCATCTTCTCCAGCAGCGTGCGCTGTTCCCTGAACTCGGGTGGGCGTCGGGAGTGAGGGCTGGGGGCACAGGGTCAGAGGCCGAGGCAACACCCTCCCTAATGCCCAAGGAATAGAAGGGCTGGGCCACGCGGAGGTTCCTGACTCCTGAGAGCAGCTGGGTGTCCTGCAGGGCAGATGCAGGGGGGCTTGGCAGCAGGCAGGCTCCCCTGGCACGACCTCTGACCTCTGCCCCTCGAGCCAACTTCCCTCCAGGCAGGAAGCCCATGAGGACAGTGAGGTCTGAGGGGAAGCTTTGGAAGGTCCTCCCACTCAGAGGCCACCAGGAGGTGGTGCTCGTGGGGACGTGATGGCCTCAGCCCTCTTAGTACAGGTCTCTGGCGCCTGACGCAGGGAGTGGGTGTCAGGAATGCCTTGTGCTGGGGTTTCAGCCCTGGCATCCGGACAGGGCAGGGCGCTGTTGTTCAACCCCAGCTCCTGCCAGCCCAGCCGTCTCACGCTGTAAGCAGCCCAGTGGACCCGTGGCAGAGGCACAGGCACGCCACGGCCTGGTTCTCTGCGTTGTGGGAGGGGGTTTATGTGGCTGAAGCAGGCCCTGGTGTGGATGGATCTGGCCTCCCAGGCATTGAGGGAGCGCGGGGTGCACCTGCTTCCTCCACCCACATCGCCCATGGCCTCCCAAAGGCCCTGGCCTCACTCCAGGTCCTGGGGCCACCTCCAGCCTCCATGCGCGCCGCCTCCCAGTGCCGTCCAGACCTGGAGGTGGCCATCCCTGCCCAGATGGTGACTAGGCTGACCAGCTCAGCTGGCACGGGTGCTGCCCAGGCCCCACCCCCTGCTGCCTGGGCACACAGCCCCTGTGGCAGGTGACTCCACCCTGCTCCTGTGCTCTGCTGTGCCGGGCACCTGCCTGTTGTACACCCGTCATCCCCAGGATGCCCCACCGGCAGGCTTTCTGTGGGGGCGGTGGTGGCCCCGGCGTCTCAGCCTTCAGGTTTTCTTGCATCTGCACACCGGTGGGGGAGAGCAAGCCCAGCAGACTGGGTGCTGCTGGGAGGTGGGAGGCTGCCAGCGGGGCACCAGATGCCGGGCCTTGCAACCTGGCAGTGGCTGTGGCAGCTCAGGGAAGCAAGGTGGCCCTGGGGTGAGGCCGGGGGCTCAGAGGAAGGAGAGCCCTCAGGAGGAAGTGTTGGGGGAGACTGCCAGAGAGCCCTGCCACTGCCCAGTGCCCATTCAGAAGCTCAGCAGGGAGTGGGCTCGGAAGTGGGCAAGGGCACGGTGGCACTGGCCACATCCTGTCTTGCAGATGAAGGGCGCCCTGGTGGAGATCATCCAGCTCGCCAGCCTCGACTCGGACCCCTGGGTGCTCATGGTCGCCGACATCCTGAAGTCCTTTCCGGACACAGGCTCACTTAACCTGGAGCTCGAGGAGCAGAATCCCAATGTTCAGGATATTTTGGGAGAACTTAGAGAAAAGGGTATGTTGTGTGGCTTTAATTCATGTTGGGAGGAGGGAAATGGATCTTTCTTGAAAAGTTTTTTTCTGAAATGAATTTGATTTTTAGACTGTTACGTTTTTCCATGTGTCCTGGTTCCTAAAATATTAACTATGTACACACCTTCCTCCCGTGTAAGCTGCTGCCTGGCTTTTTGCCATCTTTGAAAACAAACTCAAAACAACCCACAGGCTCCATCCTCGCTGCTG